TTAAATCTTTTTATTTACCCTGTAAAGTTATCTTCCATCCTGAATTTGCAGGTGTGATTCTTTTACTTTTTTTTTTTTAAATAAAATTCTTCTTTTAAGAACCTGACTGATTTTCAGTGTCCTAAAAACCAGGGATTTGGTCTGTGCTCACTTTGTTAACCTATTAGTTGGTATATTATTCTCAAGCCTCCCCAGGAAAGGGGGTGAAGGAACTTTGGGGGATATTTTGGGGGACATAGGGCTCCAAGTGGCCCCTCCCTGAATGTTTGTTTAAATCACTTGGTGGTGGCAGCAATACCATCCAAGGACAAGGAAAGGAATTTGTGCCTTGGGAAAGTTTTTAACCTAAACTGGTGGAATATAGGGGGTCTTTCATGCGGGTCCCCACATCTGTACCCCAGAGTTCAGAGTGGGGAGGGAACCCTGACACACCCAACCAGAGGGGGCACTCACAAGAGGTGGGTGCTGATCTCATTACATTTGGTACTAGAAGGGGGATTCTTCGGACCAACCCCAATTAACAAGGGACATGTCTATGGAGGAGGTAATCTGCCTGTTGGTGGCAGGCCAACAGCAGCAGGTAACTGAAATGCAGAAGCAGCAAGAACAGCAGCAGTGCACACAGACCCTGCATGCAACTGATAGAGAGCCAGCAGAGGCAACTGGAGACCCAGTTTGAGACACCACAGTGGTGGCGTGAGATCCATTCCAAGAAACAAAAGCAGATAGAGAGATGCTTGAGCCACATGACACCTTGTAATGTAGGGAGTTTAGCAGGCGAGAGGCCTGAAGCCCAGCCATGGAGATGCTATGGGTGGGGACAGTTGAGACATTTAAGAAGGGCCTACCCTGGCAGGAACCAGGGAGAAATGGGAAGGTTTAACTGCTTTTATAGTGAAGAGATGGGCCACATAAAAAGATTTTGCCCTTTAAAGAATTGGGCTCATTGCAAGGGGAAAGGCAAGGGCCTGAAGGATAGGCCAGATGAAAAGGGGACTCCAGGCACAAATCCCTATGATTTAGGGGTATGTGCCCCAGAGCTGACAGGGGAACCAGACAAGGGTGTCTCTGGGCAGCAGAACAGTAGGGCTATTGTAAGGGCCCCAAGAGATATGCAGCCCATGGCCAAAGCAAGGGAAGAAGTGGTATGTCTTGCCTGCAGGATGGCAGGGCATTTAAAGAGATATTGCCCTCTCAGAGAAAGGAGGGGCAACAATGGAAAAGAAAGATATCCCAGGTTGAGGCAAGACTGGGACAGTCAAAAGAGACTGGGTGGGTTTCTCATGCAGGAGAGACCAGGACGGTGGCCTAGGACGGGGAGAGTCCGGGACCGACTACATAAGGAAGCAGAGGGACTGGGAACCAGAGGAAGGATAGCAAAAGGGGTTCAGATGGTGCCCCAAGTGCAGAAGGATAGTCTGGGGATCCAGACAGAATCTCAGGAGCAGCGGGATACAGTTGGGACGCAGACAGATTTTCAAGGTCAGCCAGTTACAATGGGAACCCAAGCTGGACCTCACAGTGAACAGATTAGCATAGGGGCTCAGACAGGGTCGCCCCAAAGGAAAAAGGTAGAGCAGAACAGTTCTACAAGTCCCTCCTAAATGTTGACGAGCTAACCAAGCATCTGCAGTCAACAGAGCATGAAGTGGGGATCTAAAGTGCCTCAGAGAGCAGCTGGTCATGGATCTCCAGCTTGCTAAGGCGGAGTAAAAGCACCTGCTCCACTTGATACCAGGACAATAGTAAAGCGCCCTTTGTGTGAATGAGAATCAGACCCAAAGTCTCAGTCCAGTCTTTTTAGTAGTATACCTTAACAGGGGTGGGCAAATCTGGGCCCTCGGGGCTTTGGATCCGGCCCGCAGGATTGCCACCCTGGTGGCGCAGCGGGCCCCGCACCGCTCCCAGAAGCTGCCGGCACCGCGTCCCTGCGGCTCCTGTTGGGGGGGGCCAGAGGGCTCCGTGCACTGCCCTCGCCTCCAGGCACTGCCCCCCGCACTCCCATTGTCTGGGAACGGGGAACCTGGAGGCGCGGCAAGAGCAGTGCGCGGAGCCCTCTGCCCCCTCCTCCAGGGGCCGCAGGGATGTGGTGCCGGCCGCTTCCAGGAGCGGCGTGGCACAGGGCCAGGGCAGGCAGGCAGGGAGCCTGCCCTGGCCCCAGTGCGCTCTGCTGCCACCCCGAAGCTGCTCCAGGTAAACGGCGCCGGGCCAGAGCCCAAACCCTTCCTGCACCCTGCACCCCAACTCCCTGCCCTGAGCCCCCTGCCACACCCCGGACTCCTCCTGCACCCCCATCCCCCTGCCCTGAGCCCCTGCCACACTCCACAATCCTCCCTGCACCCCTGCCCTGAGCCCCCTCCTGCACTCTGCACCCCTGCTGCACCCCAACCCTCTTCCCTGAGCCCCCTCATACACCCTGCACCCCTCCTCTGCCCCAATCCCTTGCCCTGAGCCCCTTCCTGTACATCGCATCCCCTCCTGCACCACAATCCTCTGCCCCGGCCCTGCATGCAATTTTCCCACCCAGATCTGGCCCTCAGGTCAAAAAGTTTGCCCACCCCTGCCTTAACACTATAATTAATTTATAATTAACATACTGTGGCTTTTAGTTTTTGATACAATACTATTAACTACCAAAGCTGTGAATTAATAAAATAGAAGACTATGCCTGCATTAAAAAAATAATTAACATGTCAGTAGTCTCTGAACAGACAGTTCTTTAATAATGTTGGACAGGGAATTTCAAGAAAAAATATTTTAGAAAAGTAAATGAATATTCTTTCCAGCAGACTTAGTTTCTTTAAAGGAAAATATAAAGCCCTGCTGGATTTAATTTTTAAAGGTTGACTTTGATGGTATAATTTACCTCCCCAAAAAAGAACACTCCAAGGGCCAAGTATGTAGAGAGTATATGAAACTATTCAGTCAAGGTACAATCAGCTATTTTTCCTGAATTGCATTTATATTAAATGAATGAAATGTGTGCAGGAGAGATGAATGGGCTATGGAATGAGGTAAGATGAGAGTTCTAGAATATTGTTGTTCATATTTCACAGCTCATTTTGTCTCTATCTGCAAAACGTATCATGTTTTTTATCAACCAAAACTGCCTGCTTTGTGTCAAACAGCTTCTAGTTCACATTAAGGGTCAGGTTGTGTCTGCTGCTGCACTGGGGCAGAGGGGAAGGGGAATACAGAAAGTAAAGGAGACTCCTTCATTCTTGCAACACTAGGCAGTGGCCAGCCTCCATCACAGTCATTGCGATCACTGATCTTAGGCATCATGTTCCCCACAGATGCCAGGTACAGGTTGCGTTGTGATTTTTCCCAACTTGGCAAAGAGGCAAAAAACCCACCAAAACAACACACCACACACTGCACCTTTATTTGGAGCTGATAAGGAAAGGGGGGTGGGGAATCTCATGAAGTTTTAAATAATTGAAACACAAAATTCATGCTATGGGATTCACTTTGCAAACTAGTAAGCTTGCAATTCTGTAAAGAAAACACAAGACTCAGGAGTGAATCCCCCTGTCTACCAGCTAGTTAGGCCTATCACCCTTTCATATCTGCCCTTAAATATAGCTTTACTTACTTACTTGGTTTATTGTCCTTATCCATTCATGAAGCTTTGACCAAACCTATCCAAACATACTAAAAACACACTCAGTTGATCCAGAGCAGGCTTCAAAAGAGTGCACATCTTTTAACATTGACAAGACTCTGAATCCAGTTGTCTTGTCTTCCATTATTTTACTTCCAAAATATGACACCATTTTGATGCAATGCACTGTGACACAACCTTCTTTGCAAACAGACGTGGGAGAGAAATCTGCTGGAAGAAAAGGAAGGAACCTCAGGATTATGTTCCATCAGTCACAGCCTTTTCTTTTCTGGACATTGTGACATTTGTATTCGGGTTTGGTCATGTATAAAGCTGCAGCATTGGCTCAAAAGTGACTTAGGAGGAAGAGTGATACTTACTTTATCTCCAATATCATCTCCTACAAGCACCTACATTTTCCTTAGAGGCATCATCGAACCTTCTTGGGACATTGCAGAAGCTCCTTCACTAGGAACCCACCAGTGGATGGGATTTGCAAGGTTGCTCCACATGCCCAACTCTGCTGAGCATATGAGGAGTGACAGGACCATAGTACAAAGTAAAGATGTCAAAGGATAAGAGGACTAGACTTACAATAAAAAAAAGAGAAATGTTTTAGGCTGTTTCACATTTCTAAATGTTGTAATATAAGGCAGAGCTGGTAAAATCATTAAATACACTAGGAAATATTGCTATCTAGTGCCTCTTCTATACAAATCATTACATAATTGTATACTGAATATTTGTATGTAAATGAGATGATGTGGTGGATAAGACTAGTGGATCCCTTACTTAATACAAGTATACAGAATACAAGTATCACTACAAGGTTAGTAAAGAATAACAAATCAATTGCTTATCAACAGTCCTCTTTAACTCTCCCCACCCTCAACCACACTCTCCTCTTGCGTCCTAAGCATGTTGGCTAATGTTTCATCATATGAAGATTTAAGGAGGAAAGAAAGAGCCTGGCAACTTGTTAAGGGATGTACCAATCATCTCTTGAGACAGGAAAATGCTCAGCACTCATAAGTAATTACAGAAAAATAAATTATACTGGTCTTTTCTTGGTAATGCTGTAAATGTCCCCCCAGAAAAAAAACCCAGTCAATTATGTATTTCATTTACAGGTGTTCAGCTTTTGTTCATTTCAACTGGGTATCACTAGTCTCTTAAATTACAATTTTGGGGACTGGGGGGCTACTTCCTTTACTGTGCAGATGCTGTATGTTTACACTCTACTTTAGTTAAAATGACGGTGAGTCTAATGAAAATATATTGATCAGAATAAAGGAGAGGGATTAGAGAAAGAATGTGCAGACAGAAAGTGCAGGCCCATTGATGCACTCACTCAAGATTAAAGGTAAAGTATTAGAAAATATTATTATTAATGTACCTCTCACGATTTCCTTCTGTGATATGATAATACAGGCGATTAGCACCTCCATCAGCGCAAGCTCTTAGAACAGCTGAAAATAAAGAAATATGTTGTTAAGATACTGCCACTATAGCAAAAAATCTTATTTTTTTTACTTTTAGACATGTCTGTGATGATCAGCACAATAGTGACTAAGAACCTTACAAACATCAGTAGACAAAGCTTCACAACAACTATGTGAAAACCTATTAAAGCATTATCCCAGTTATATGGTCTATGATACCGAGGTACAGAAGTTATTGTGAGACCTTGGGTAAACCAGTTATATCCATGGCGGAGCAGAGAATAAACTCCAGAATTCTTTGGTTCCCAATCCTGCATCTCAACCACAAGACCACTCTTCAACTCCTCCTTTCTCAGGCTTTAGGACTTCTTATGTTTAATTAGAACAGGTTTTCTTAAACAAGTGCAACCCTTCATGTGAACAGTCTTATTTCAGTTTGGCTTTAACTTGCATTTGTTCCTAATGAATGCAAGGTAAACCAAAAAAGGCACTCAAACCAAAATAAGGATGTCCACATGGGTTTGCATTTGTTCAACTAAATAGTATTACTCCTGCGGGAATTCTGTGCCACTGTGCATGTGTAGAATTTATATCCCCCGCAGATTTCTTTGCTTCCCCAGAGAAAAATGACTTTCTGACAGGGAAACAAGGGGAAGCCACAAGAGCAGTCATGCAACCCTCCACAGCAGTATGTTTCAGGTGCCCACGGCAGCCAGCAGAGAGGTAAATCACTGTGATGCAGGAGGCGTGACTGGGGAAGACCCAGCTTCCTACCCTGTGCCAGGCTCAGCTGCTAATCCTGGCTGGGCTGGGGAGGATGGGACTTCCTCTTCTCCTGCACGGCATCCAGGGCTGGGTCAGACCCATCCCCAGATTTCTACCCCAGCTACAGAAAGCTCTGCAAACACCTCTCCTGCCCCCTGCTTCCTGCACCCATCGGTCCTCAGCTGCAGGGGGAGGGATCCCTGTACAGAGAGCTGCTCCCCCATCCACCCAACCCCTGTGCATCCAGAACCTCTCATACCCAGACCCTCCTGCTGATCCTCACCCCCTCACACACACACACTCTCAGAAACCCTCTGATGAGCCCCACTCCCCCTGCAGCTGGACCGCCCCAATGAGCCACCTACACTCGGATCCCCACCAAGCCCCAGTTGGCCACACCTGGATCCCCACCCCACTGAGCCCCACTCCCCCAGCATCTAGACCCTGCTTGAAGCCCCCCCAGACCCTCCTGCCGAGCTCTATCCCTCCACATCCAGACACACACACACACACCCCGCTGAGCTCCAACCACCTTCACCTGGACCTCCCTGCAGAGTCCCATTACCATTACACCCAGAACCCCCCCAGCAAGCCCCTGTGCATCCAGATCCCCCCGCACCCAGATCCCCCACTGAGCTGCCAACACCCAGATTGCCCCTCACAGAACCCTCTCAACCCACACCTGGATCCCCCGACACTAAGCCCCTGCACACTTGGATCCTGCCTTGCTGAGCCTGCCTGCCTACACCTGGTGCACAGGGCATGGAGGATCAGGGCCCTGGGATGTTTCTGGGCCAGGCCTGGTACTTGCACTGTGTCAGGATTGGGTGCAGCCTCCCCACTGAGTCCATGGCGGGGGGGCGGGGGAAGGGGGAGCTGCACAGTGATCTCACACCTCTGTGCAGCCAGTGGCCTATGTTCCCCAATGCCATGCTGGAGCCTCCACATTTATTTGGCAAATAAAATTTGCAGAATTTTAAAATATTGTGCGCAGAATTCTTAATTTTTTGTTACAGAATTTTTAAATTTTTTGGCACAGAATTCCCTCCGGAGTAAAATAGGTTTAAGAGGTGAATTTAAACCCACCAACGTTCCCACGCAGTCAAGGCCTTAGTAATAGTACCCACATTGGGTATGTCTACACTGCAATTAAAAACCTGCAGCTGGCCCGTGCCAGCTGACTCGGGCTCACAGGGCTTGAGCTGCGGGGCAGTTTAATTGCAGTGCAGACTTCTGGGCTTGGGCTGGAGCCCAGGGTGTAGGACCCTGCGAGGTGGAAGGGTCCCAGCGCTCAGCCTGCAGCCCAAGCCCTAATGTCTAAACTGCAATTAAACAGCCTCGCAGCCCAAGTCCTGTGACCCTGACTGAGCTGGCACGGGCCAGCCGCGGGTGTCTAATTGCAGTGTAGACATACCACAGACAATGATTTATGCACAAAATGGAATAGGCTAAGCACTATGGTCTGGTCTGATCCGATCCCTGTTTTTCTTTGTTTGCTTTCTTTCTTTCTTTCATTCTCTGTCCCCCAAGGCAGAAGTCTGGCTCCACAATGGTAACCAAGTAGGCAACTAATTCCTGTACTGTTCCACAGATGGTTTGACTCAATTGATGTACCATGGTATTAGCTTTAAGTATTAAATCTTTAGCTAGCCTGGTCCAGAAGAAGCAAAATCACAATCAATTTGGATGCCATCATT